CCTCACTAATGCACTCCACCGGAATTTCAGTGTACGAGTAATAGTTGGAGTCCTCTTGGCATATTCGGACCAATTTAGTTATATACTCCTTGGGCGACGAGTGATGACTATGCTTCAACTGGGTGGTTAGGAAATATGAAAACCGTTCTGAGCTGAAGCCGTACACATAGTTCACCAGATATGTTTCACGAGCATACGAATTTATAAAGGTGCGCGTGCCAGTCGTAACAGCCGATGATGCTATCTGAAACATTTTGGTTTTTTCCAGAGATCGGGACGCTACAGCTGGGATCTCGCTACGGTACGGCGAGTTGTTGGTATAGGTAACGCCCACGTACATAACATTCGTCACCGGATGCTGGGGGGGTCCAGGCGCAATGAAAGCAACCGTTGAGGAGTTGTCATCATTCGCAACAACGGCGTCCGGCACCTCATGCTCAACTATGCTAACATTTTGCAGATTACGGACCGTACAGGTGCCCTGGAACAAGGATCCACATGCGATTAGACGCGATGTGGCGCGATCTATAAGAAGCACCTTATTATAGTTATCTGTTGGCTTGCGCACGGCATTAAGCGGACAGTCCAGTATGGTGCACTCGACTGAATCATTTTGTGGTCCTGTCTTCACGGTTTCGTGTAGCTCCAGATCCGGCGATAGCTGATACAATCGATTCACACCGCCAACAAACACTCTGCCCGTAACTGTGTCCACCAGCAGATGGTTAAGTTTTGTGTCAAATTTGGCTACATTTGTTATTATATTCGTGCTGAAGTTCCCAGCATTACGGGCCAGTACATTTGGGTCCGTTTCCGTTATATTAACCCTAAGGGCTTCAGCACTTCGTCCAATCCTATCAGCCCGAACAGCCAATACAGACGGCTGCTCGATCGCAAATCCAGAATTTAGCTGTTCATTACTATTCTTATATAGGTGCAATATTTGTCCGTGGGCTGAACGTGATGGTAGATTTCCCAAAATTGTAATTGATAGTAAACAGAGTATACAGAGTATATTCATTTCCACAGTCGCTGGCTAATCGCCACAATGGCGATCAGATCGAAATATGAATAATCCTTTGCTAAGGATTCGCAATTCTCTATTGGGCTCCAAATATTTCCAGCTTCTTTTCTTTTATTCAAAACAAAAAGAACGTTGCAGTTGCGAGTGCGTTTAAATGTCTTGCAAGCAGCCGCAGTAAATGCCACTTTTCAAACACCGGATTCTGTTTTATCCATATTCATTTGATCTTTAGATATTAAATCTACAACTTGTGTCGACTCCCACTTGCTGCTACATTATTAATATCTCAGCACCTACATAAGAAAGTATATAATAAAGTACAGCAATTAATGAGGATGAAGAAAAATATGCCAAGAAAATACTTTAGACCTCTTTACTTAATTATACACCAATAGACCACAAAAGTTCATTTGTCCATGAGTTGAATGCACTTTAAGTGACCGTCCAGCAAATACCCTGCACTTGTACATGAAAAACGCACACATTAACATTGCAGCTGAGCCTTTATTCTTCGAAATTTCCGTTATCCAAAAACTATCCAGACACGGACAGAAGGATAATCAAGAATATATATATTGTGAATGTTGTTTGTCTGTCACATACATTTACACAAAACTATTATACCCACTACCTCCTCCCCACTCCACCCAGGGTGAAAAATGGAGATATCAACGGGGTGAAAATGGAGATATCAACAAATTTATCATTACTAGTTGCTTTGTTAATAATAAGTATTTGTTTTCCTTATTCTGACTGCTTGACAATGTAGCTCTCGTTTGGCAATTTTTTTTTTAATGTACTTCTCTGATTATATTACACAGTAGGAGCACATATATATTAGATATACATATATTTATATCCGGGCTTTGAAGCAATTTTCTTATACATATGTTTGTATGTGTGTACATATGTTGATACATGCACCGTCTGCAGTGAAATGTATTCCTTGCTATCAGTTCATTTTCATTCAAACATATACAAATGTGTACTTATATATCTGTAGAGCTGATTACAAACGATGTGATTATATGTACATTACATATGTCCATTAAATATATGTAAAACATAACCAACACAAATCACTGAACTTAACACATCCATCCACATGCTAGGGCTTATTTTGAATGAGTCAGAGTCAGAGTTATTTAGCTCTTTCGAATAATTCGACTCAATCAAATACCGTTTTTTCATGATTTCGTAAGCATCGGTAATATTTTGTGTGCATTCAGGATCATGTCGGCTCAAAAGTTTGATAGCGAATACCAGACCCACGCCCACCGCGGATAAAAGGCGTTATATGTGTTAATGGAGCTAATTAAATGTATCCACAGTTTGAGAAAATAAGCTTTAAGTTTTGATATCGTCGGTTCATTACACTGGCTAGTTAATTATCGTACGAAATCGTTATTCTATTGTTTCGAATAAACACAGTAATGTACATCTGACGGATGTACACACATAGTGTATGTATGTGCTCATACATGCGCACTTTTCATTTGCAGTTGATTGTTTTTTTCTTTTTCTTTTTTTCAATAAAAAATACCCACTTACACTTGTAATAACGTCTTATGTTCATATTATAAGATATATATACAAAAAAGTCGCAAGCATACGCACAAAGCTGTAATTCTAAAAATACTTATTTCTGTCGATTTAACAATTCAATATTCACAAATGTCTTTTATTGCATTTATATGTCAACGAAAGTGTTGACTGGTGGAAAAAATGAAAGTACAAAGAAAATTGATCGTTATTATAAATACAAAATATGACTTTATAAATTAATTGATTTAATACTTGGATTCTTGCAAAATAAATGTACACTTTTTGCCACCGAACGACACACACACACGCATGCACTAAACAAATACACACCGACATACCAGATACAACTCTACCATATTCAAGATGTCGGATACCATAAAATATCGATAATTTGATAGACGCATTGACCACCATTCAGTGTTGTACAGTGGTTTAAGATCGCAATGCAACATGCTGCAACGCCCAAATACATCGATATTTTTCAAAAAAGCAGCGCTGCTTCGATATTTTTTCATCACTATAGTGTGACCATTATTTCAGTTTCCTTTTCTTCGCAGCGTGCCGCGTGTAAGTTTTTAATAGAAAAAATTTTGTCAAAATGTCGGATTCTGAACAGCATGAATTCGGCGGCGACTCGGGTGCATCAGCAACTTACCCGATGCAATGTTCAGCGCTGCGCAAAAATGGATATGTGATGCTTAAGGGACGCCCTTGCAAGATAGTGGATATGTCTACCTCCAAGACAGGCAAGCATGGCCACGCCAAAGTCCATCTTGTTGGCATCGACATATTTACACAGAAAAAGTACGAGGATATCTGTCCCTCCACCCACAATATGGATGTGCCGCATGTAAAACGAGAGGACTTCCAGCTCACCGATATTAGTGATGATGGCTACCTATGTCTGATGAACGACAACGGCGACTTACGCGAAGACCTCAAGATTCCCGACAGTGCATTGGGTACATCTTTGCGCGCCGATCACGTTGCCGGAAAGGAGCTTTTGTGCACCGTGATGAAAGCCTGTGGAGAGGAGTGCGTTATTGCCGTCAAAAACAATACTGCTTTGGATAAATAAGCTTATCGGGGTAGTTTCAACCACTGACCTGATACTGGAAAAGTGTAATGATATAATGAAGTAATATCAATTAAAAAATTCAAAAATACAAACTGCTGCGTTTTTTTTGTATTTATTTACATACATATGTATTGAGCATTATTTCAGCTTGACATTTCAATTGCCATTTTCGTTTAAGCATCAAAACGAACATTGGTTAATTTGTGAGCTATTCAATGGCTGAATGTAAATTGCCGACGCATGAACGTAGTTTTTTTTAAACCAAAAACTGGCTTTAAAAATTCGCAAACACGTGGATCTTGCCAATTTTTTTAGTGATGAGCATTTAACTTGATAATGAAAAACGCTGAGGTTAGAGCGAGAGCGCACAATATCCATAATGCAAATGTGAGAACATTTCGCACGTAGTACATGTGTGTATGTATGTATTTGGAATATATATATATATATATATATATATATATATATATATATATATGTGTGTGTGTGTGTGTCTGTGTATATATATGTCCAAATGAATCCTGATCAGAGTTAAATATAATAAATACTTTTGCACTCAGTTTTATAAATTAGCCATATAGGTTCTAGATACCACAAATAATTCACTTTCATTATCATTTAAAATGACAAGTTTAAACCCTTGGAATTTTTGTACGACGCCCGATCTGCAACATCTTTCAATAAGGAATTTTCTAAACTGAGTTATTTTAGTACTTTGTTAAAATATTGAAAAGGAGGTTAATGGCTGTTTGCTTTTTCATCTTTTCCCTAATGTTTACACATATAGAGGAATGTTCGTGGATATTCGCCGCAGTGTCAACTTTTTTGTTACCCCACCATACTAACAATACTTGCAGACATTTCTGAAAATCAATAACTCCCATATTCTAAGGCTACAAGGTAATGAGTCTCATTTAGATATAAAATTGTTAGAATCGTTTTGCTATAAAAAAGTATAGCAAGAATCGAGGTATAATTAAGTCTTAACATGATAATTAAACGTGTCGAGAGAGACTATATGAGAATATTGATACTCGCATAAGAGTGTATTTGTTTCGATGACACAACAGGGCTGCCAACTGGCGCTATAAAAACTATTAAATTCAAAGTTAAGAATTGCTCGAAATGTTTGCATTATCACTGAAAATAGTTTAATTCAACTAGAAATTAGCTGAATTGGTAACATTGCACTCGGATAAAAAGACATTCAAAAAAATCTCTAGAAATTTCAGTAACACCCGTGATACCAAAAAAAAAACATGCCTATCGATACATCACTTTAATGTCACTGTGACTATCGACAAATTTCAATACGACCGTAAATTATGTATTCATATTACGACGGTACCGTAGTACTTCTACAAACCTCCATCAGTTGGTCAAAAATGTTCGCGTTACGTGCTGCCGCTAAAGCTGATAAAAATTTGCTGCCATTTTTGGGGCAATTGTGTAAGTATAGATATGTATTTTTAGGAAAATACAAATATTAAGTATCCAGGAAAAAATGTTTTTCACGCAAAAAATCGTTCTTTAACTTGGTCTTATAACCGGACGAAGGTGGCTTGACGAAAAACGAACATAACCTTATATGTGGTTGAAAAGAACTGATTGCATAATATTGAAAATACAGTGTTTAACTTGACTTAGTTTTTATAAAGGTTAATTTGCTATTTCGGATGCAATAGGTACTAAAAACGAAAGTGCAAAACTTTTTTTTATAGGCATACACATATTTTTAATGGCCAGCAAAAAAATGTACATACATATGTATGTATGCACTTCGTGCATATCTGTTTTGCAAACTTTCGGTGTTTCAATGAAAAAACAATAACAAAAAATTGAATCTGGTTTTGTCATATCAATCTCCTACTATTTCCTGTTGTGATATTTAAAATCCTTACTCAATTATAGTGTGTGATATGATTGTGACGTAATATAGGGTGGTATGTACATGCATATGTATAACATACGCGTATGTATATGTATATCATATAACCGCATGCATTAGGAGAAGCAAAAAAGTTTATAAACATACATACACATATATATTTGAACGAATTCTGTTTGCAGCTCGCGGCCATGCTGCCAAGGCAGCCGCTAAGGCGGCCGCTGTAGCCAATGGCAAAATTGTGGCCGTAATTGGTGCCGTCGTGGACGTGCAATTTGATGATAACTTGCCGCCAATTCTGAATGCATTGGAGGTTGACAACCGTTCGCCCCGTTTGGTGCTGGAAGTGGCCCAACATTTGGGCGAGAACACCGTACGCACCATTGCTATGGACGGTACTGAGGGTTTGGTTCGTGGACAGAAGGTTCTCGATACTGGCTCCCCAATTCGTATTCCAGTCGGAGCGGAGACTCTAGGACGCATTATGAATGTCATTGGTAAGCATCAATTTATGAATATATTAAAACTGTTATGTTGTCTTTATATATGAAATGTTTCCCATGTTTAAAGGCGAACCAATCGATGAGCGTGGTCCCATTCCGTCTCAGAAGACCTCGCCTATTCATGCTGAAGCTCCCGAATTCGTGGACATGTCAGTCGAACAGGAAATCCTGGTTACCGGAATTAAAGTCGTCGACCTTCTGGCACCCTATTGTAAGGGTGGTAAAATTGGTCTGTTTGGTGGTGCCGGTGTCGGCAAAACTGTGCTAATTATGGAGCTTATCAACAACGTGGCTAAGGCACATGGTGGTTACTCTGTGTTCGCCGGCGTTGGCGAACGTACTCGCGAGGGCAATGATCTGTACAACGAGATGATTGAATCTGGTGTTATTTCGCTCAAGGATAAGACCTCGAAGGTGGCTCTAGTCTACGGTCAAATGAATGAACCCCCAGGCGCTCGTGCTCGTGTTGCCTTGACTGGTCTCACCGTTGCCGAATATTTCCGTGACGAGGAGGGACAGGATGTGCTGCTTTTCATTGACAACATTTTCCGTTTTACTCAGGCCGGTTCCGAAGTGTCCGCTCTTTTGGGTCGTATTCCATCAGCCGTCGGTTACCAGCCGACTTTGGCAACTGACATGGGTACTATGCAAGAGCGTATTACCACAACCAAAAAGGGCTCCATCACTTCGGTCCAGGCTATTTATGTGCCAGCTGACGATTTGACCGATCCTGCTCCAGCCACAACTTTCGCCCATTTGGACGCCACCACTGTCTTGTCGCGTGCCATTGCCGAATTGGGTATCTACCCGGCTGTCGATCCTTTGGATTCCACTTCACGTATCATGGATCCCAACATCATTGGCCAGGAACACTACAATGTCGCTCGCGGTGTGCAAAAAATCTTGCAAGATTACAAATCTCTCCAAGATATCATTGCCATTTTGGGTATGGATGAGTTGTCTGAGGAGGACAAACTGACTGTCGCGCGTGCACGTAAGATCCAGCGTTTCTTGTCACAGCCATTCCAAGTCGCTGAGGTCTTCACTGGACATGCCGGTAAACTAGTCCCATTGGAGCAAACAATTAAGGGCTTTTCACAGATTTTGGCTGGTGAATACGATCATCTGCCAGAGATTGCGTTCTACATGGTTGGCCCAATCGAAGAAGTTGTTGAGAAGGCCGACCGTCTAGCCAAGGAAGCAGCCTAAAATGCATATTACAAAAATGGTTTTTGCAAATTAATATTCAATTGTATTAAGCATAAAGATATCAGAGACAAATGAAAAAAATAAAACGTAATTAAACAACACGAGTCTTAAATATTTTAATATCTCTGCAGCCAAGGACACTACCGAACACCACAAGGTCATGGCTAGATCGATGCCCTCCCGTTATATTGAATTCTATCCAAATGTGATTGGACAAATCTTGGGATCAAGGTTACCGTATTTGGATTTTAGTACATTTCTAATCTGGTGCACTTTATCAACTGAATTTGTGCAGCATTGCCGGTTTCTCTGCAATTTTTTAAAATTTGGGGACTTCTCCAATGTATTTTTGTACCCTGACCCCATTGAATATGGATAAAACAGTTTTTGTCCAATTGTATGTAGCACCAAAAAGGAAGCATCTCCGACACCATAATATATATATATATATTCGTGATCAGCAACAACAGCCGGCTCGATATAGCAATATACATATGTCTGTCCGTATATATGAGCACATCAATCCCAACCAAAACAAATAAGAGCTGAAGACTTGTAATTTTGAACGTTAGTCGTCCTAGAGCCCGCGCAGTCCGATAATCGATAACTTGCCTCGTTTCCACGCAATCGATAAGAGTCAATATCGAATATCTGTTTTTGGAGCAAGCCTCTAATCATTTCCCTGATCCTTCGACTTTATTTTCACAAACATTCCAAAATCAAAGTAATGAAATTTAATCACGGAAATGCTCAAACTTGAGATTTCGTTCTTTATAAAACACAAGGAAGCATCCGTATGTACGTATATTCGAATTAGGTGATATATACAAACTTAGATCTACAGTTAAATTACAGGGTTGCCACTTAGGGTAAATGGCTTAAAGAAGCGTAAAGTGTTGGAAAGCGAGAACTAAATAACGGCAGATGACAAAATGAGGCTGAAAGTATGTAGATTTGGCATCAATAATAATTGCAGCTGATGCATATGAAGTATCCGGTGCATCTGACTGCCATTTCCAGTCGCATCGAGAAACTGGTCACATTGCACTGGACGACAAATGGACTCAATTGGATTGCTACGAGGCAAACATCATATTTTCATGACTGCCTTACAACCAAGTGACAGCGACCAGGCAGGAGAAAAACTTCGCTAGCTGCCGCTGCGGCTGCTGGACGTTTGAAATAATAGTCGCGAGCGTGGATGAAGAGTACTGGGAGGTACTGCGGCTCGCCAGCACCAGCGTCTGGAGCAGGCCAAGCGTGGAGCTACGGCGTGTCCGACTACGCGAAAGCCGTGCCAGGAGTATGCCGCGAATACTTCACGGAGCACAGTGCGAGCTATCTATTATCTCTATCATCCTTCACCTAAAGATAAGACTTTATTTTAATGAATTTCAAATAATGTCCACAATTAAGAGAGTCACTCGGTTACTTCGTTACAAAAAAAAACCGATTCCTAGACTTGGGTAGGGTCAGCTTGAAGCACCGTCGCCGTCGCGCAACTGCAGAAAATCTTCGCACAATAGTTTCGTCCAGTGTGTGGGATGCGCCTGCAGGTCGGTAATGATCTCGTCTAGCATAGCGACCAATATCTCCAATCTGTAGTCGTCCAACACATCATAACAATACAACTGCAGGCGATTGGGCATTGGGAATTAGCTCATTAATTATCAGGATAAAAGTGTGTTCCTTACAATATTTGGAAATATCCTGGCGATAGCAATGAAAACATTCCGCATCATCAGAGTTCCACTTGCCAATGGAGCTCTCGTTGGGCTGCTCGGATTTACGAACCACAACAGTTTTATATGGTATGCTCCCAGCGCTCTCGCTTTGGCTTACATCTCTCTCATTATGTCTAGGGATCGCATACACACATACATTAAAACGGTCCCTAGACATAATGAGGGGCAGTTTCCTGTAGTGGGAGCGAGATAAAAGACAGCAATGCTGATCTATCGTACAAATCATTTGTATTTTTTACTATCTTGATGTATGAGCATGAGAGCGTGTCTCGGACCCAAACAAAAACAAAAACTACTAAATATTTGAAACTAAGAGAGAGAGAGAACAGCCTCTTTAAAGTGATAATGACGACGGAGGAGTAGGCTCTACAGGTGGAAGGGCGGCAATGGGCGACGCGCTTTAATTTAGCTAAAGTTGTTATTATTGCGATTCTGATTTTTAAAGTAAAGTTTAAAGTAATATTTCTAATATCGCACATTGACTGAGTAAGTGCAAATGAATATTACACTAATTAAAGACCCATTTCGAGATATATGATATTTGTAATAATTTTTATTAGGTATGTATTTGTAGTTAATAAATCATAAATATATAATAATGAATATTGATTTTTAAGAGTTATTACCGATATTTTTAAATATGTATTTTTATATAGTATTTTGAGGACATCAACTACAGCAAGTTTGTAATTCGAATAGGCATTTGTAATTTGTGGTTTGATTTTTTTAATTTTCGTTTTCGTTTCGTTTTGTTTTAGTTTTATTTTTGAGACACTTGGTAAACAATTTGTTACATTCTATCTCTTACTGTGCTTACTGTTTTTTTTAACAACATTTCGATCGATTTATAAATTTGAGTTTGTATTTGTAATAATATTCGATCTTATAATACTATCATATTATAAGTATTTTTTTAGATAATTTAAGAAAACATTTTAAATACTAGAAAATTTGTAATAATCATTTTATTCCTGTTCCTTTTGGATTAATTGAACATGCATACACGACATCAACAGCAGTAACTTTCTCTTCTTCTTTAAAGATTAAAATTTATCCTTGATCCGTGATTATTGCATTTAAATTAAGAAATTATCGCCCCATATGGGATTCCAAAAATGTATGTACATATGTATTTATATATGTAAGTATGCATGTATGTCATATATATGTAATCATGTATTTAGGTAAATGTGACATATTTTATAATCATTTACTCATTTTTTATATATCCTTGCGTAGGTACACACATCTACATATATCTGACGAGCTGGGCTGATATAGATGATATGACAGTCATGTCGGTCTATCTGAAAAACTTTTCATAAATGTGTTTTTTTTTACAGATCGGACCACATTTATTATGTAGGTGGTACAGGAACTTTTTTCAAAACTATTTTACTTTACATTAAACAATTTCTTACAATTTCTTTCCAATTAGACAATTAAGAAAATGTTGTATCAACTATAAAGCATATAGCTCCCAAAGGAATACTAATTGTTAAATTCAACAATTGATTTTTTCCGTATTTCAAGAGTCTGCGTAAAATCGGAACACTTTTTTATATAGCTCGCATAGGACAAATCGGTTGAAACGTGCAGGTATTATAAATTGGTTGTTTAGAAATAAATTGCACCTCTGCAAGTGTATATAATCTTCGGCAATCCGACGATAACTGCATTTTCTTATTTAATTTTTGCCTTTGTGTAACAGTATTTGTGCACAATTATTACAAATTCATTGAATTTGTCGTTGAAGATCGGAGTTTAGTTTGGATTATATAAATTAAAAATGTTCTTTTGGTGATTCGACATATTTGGTTTTATATAGTACAATTAACATATTATGCGTATATTCTGTATGGATTAATATAAACAATTTATTTAATGTCGAAATGTCTGTGAAGCATGTTTCTTAACATTTTAACATTAACATTTTCTTTTTTACGGATACATAAGTAGTACACGTTTTGCTGTTTTAATAATCTTAGTCTCTGTTAGTTCACACAAACACGTTTTATAATTTTATAATCTTTCTATTAGATTTATTCGCAAACATTCAAGGAAAATTTGTCATTTACTGATAACTCACGAAATTAAAATTGGAATTTATAGTTGAAAGTCAATAAAATGATGCAGACATGTATTGAAAAAATGTATTCCAAAATTATGTACATTTATTTTTAAATAAGATTTCTGGTTTAATAAAAGAACATAAAAAAGAACATTTATATATTATATACGTAAATATGCATATATATGCATATGCATAAATACATATTTACAAAAGCCCCACAAAATATACAATTAGTTTTACACATATATATATATATATAGGTATATAGCTTAGCCTAGGACACTTGCTTCAGAAATCGACAAGAACTTCTTATTAAGGATCATAATGATCAATTTGATTTGGTTTTCTAGTCAAAATGTTTTTAGTTGTTTTAGTTAAATATTTGTTTACTAGAGTACTCGTATAAAATTCGAATAAATTATTTAAATACACATAAGAATTATTATCAAAATAGAAATTAGAATTTTATGACTCTTAGCTGCGTGTAGTTGTTGTCACTGCATGGTATCCACATTATTTTACATAACTTAAGTATCTGCATTAAGGATCTAAATTAGGATGAGTAGAAATTTAAGAGGCCATCCGAAATTATCCGATCAGAGAAGGATCGAACCTTTAGCGTTTGGCCAGCTTCCTAATTTCTAATTCGATACTTATTTTAGATTTGAATCCAATAATTCAGATACCAATCATTTGTAGCTCCATTTTTTTCTTTTAACAACAATTAGCTAATTGTTATTATTGTATTTTTGGTTCGGTTGTAATTTTTTTGGTGTAGTTAAATTTGTAAATGCTTAGTGTACATATTTATTAACTAATGCTTTGCAATATTATAATAGTTTCCTAGCTTCGATATCTTTTATAATTTCACACTTGTAGTATCCCAAAATGAATGGTAATATGGTAATAAGTTGTGGGTATGCATTGAAAAGTACATAAACATATATGCACATAAATGCACACACAATTATACATTAGACAATTACAATTGAATAATCTGCTTAAATTTTACATGAAGGTACGTACAATTATGTGAATAGTATGCTAAAACTTAATATGCTGACGGTCGATGTGTGTGTGTGTGTGTGCTAATAGAGATCTTTTTTTAAACAGAGCCTTTCTCTAGATACATTTATGTATTTATATCTGTTCGATAGCAAAGAACTAACTATTTATATGTATATGAATGAAATATTACATCCGATTTATGCATTTTGAATTGAAATATTTTATGTTTTTTTTCTTTTTAAGTGTCTTGAAAGTTTGTAATCCTTTCGATATCTGGGGACAATTTGTAATCCGTTTCCTTTGCTTTTATATATATATATTTTTTTTTTTGGGTTTACAATTAAAAATAGTCATAGCTTTTAGATCAAATAGTTGTGGATACGTTTTTGAATATTTACTGGACACATCGTGGTTACATTAATTTTGTATAATACATATTTATAGATATTACGCTTTCATAAAGCATTTTACTCTTTCGTTTGCATATACAACATAGTAATTAAATAGATTGTAAATTATAAAAGGGCAAAGAAACACACATTTTGAATATTATTTTTCTTTTTTTTTCCTATCTCTTCGATTTGCTTAGAAGTGCACACAAGTTGAGTTGAACTATTGTTGTTTCAGCTGTTTATTATAAAGATTCATACACACATAGATCATATTAGGCTATCGGAGCGAATTAATTATACTATCTTTGAATTTCTGCGGACTCCGCCTACTTCTGTGGCATAAAATCGAAAGTCGTTGCCCCGCTGATCTTGCCAGATGCACTTCGATGGAAGTGAACGTTTTGCCATTTATTGTCGCGTCTGTGCCAAACGCGTGTCTCCTCCGATTGATGAGTATGTGCGTGTCCTTGCCTAGTAAGATTTTTCAAAAAGCGTTATTCAAATATATTACAAATAAGACAGCATCATATTATAAGCATAGCGAGATCAATCCAATAGTTGACCACTATTCCAAAAAAATAAGTAAGAGGTTCTAGTCGGGAGCTCCCGACTAGGGGATACCCTGAACCCTCTTATTCCAACACCAAACAAATTAATAAAAAAAAGTTCCCTCTACAGGGCTCGAATTTGCAACTGACCGCATTACTTACTGTCGACTCTACTCAACAGCCACACCAGCAAAAAAAAAATAATAATACTTTCCCCGGTAGCGCTCGAACTCGCGACAGACCGCACCACTTGCTATGCCTCTGCCCAGCAGCCACACCAACAATTAAGTACTTATGATAAAAAAAAGAACTAAAATAACATTAAAAAAAAGATGCAATTACCATGCTATTAGAATGCGAAGCAGACGCGCATGAATGTGTGTGTGTACATGTATACAGAAATTCTTAAAGCTGCTGCCCCATTCAATTGCGCAGTTGCATATAACTTTGGTTTTTTTTACCCGATCTTTATGAAGTATACCTTATTGTACCATAGAATATTTGTGTATTCTGAAAAAATCAATTGCATTTAAATTGTGGTTTAAATTGGTTGGCAATTAAAGTTGGGTTATTAACTTGATTTATAGCTCTGGGGTGGAAGCGGGGAGGTGGCGATAGGTATGAAATGAAAGATACTTGAAATATCTATAATATTCTAGAAGCAACATATCATGTTTGGTGGCTCTAGCTCTTATTATTTACCCAATTTGCTAAAAAAAAACAGGATGTCGATATCGATTTTGATCGATTGCTTGGAAACGGAGTAAGTTATCGATTATCGGAAACAAACTCGATCTGCGCAGGAACTAGGAGCATCTACATCTAAAATTCAAGTCTCTAGCTCTTATAGGTTCTGAGATCCTTTGGCTCATACATACGGACGGACGGACGGATGGACGGACGGACAGACAGACAGACAGACGGACTAGATCGACTCGGCTATTAATGCTGATCAAGAATATATATACTTTATGGGGTCGGAGATGCTTCCTTCTGCCTGTTACATACATTTGGATTTTACACAAATACAATATACCCTTATACCCATTTTCATGGGTTCAGGGTATAAAAAGGCTCTAGTCGGAATTGCCTCCAGTCCTGCATAAACATATGCATATCCTAAGCCCATCTTGAATGACACTCTGGTTTCCTTCTGTGCTTCGTCTTCCCTCAGCATTCTTTAATAGCTTCGGTGCTCAAAGTGCGATCTTTTTGAAATTTTCATGGCTCCAAAAAGGCCAGGGTCTTAAAACCCCATGTTTGTTTGGAATAATGTGGCCAGGCTTTCAAAAAGTGAAACAGTTTTAAGCTTAACAAATATGAGACAAGATCCTGACAAAAAGTGATAAGTTCTGTGTATTTGTTAACGACAAAGCACATTTAAAATTTCGAATCTCTAGTTTCAGTTTCCTTGAAGTTTGACCTAGAGTCCTGCCACACACTACTTAAATAGATGAAAATAAATTCCACTAGATCGATTGAATTTTCCCTGCTGGCTCAAACTCTTTGATAAGTCGTAATTGGGTTCTTAGATGGTTTGTCAAATATATTTTCTAGTAAAAAATAAAAACTTACTTGTCAATGTACTGTGTAAGTCTTACATAGGCGATACAAGCGGCTTCTTCTCCCAGTAAGTGTACGTGGGGATTTAATATTGTTGTGTTAATGGCTTTGCAATTTTTGCCAAGTACTTAATTAAAATAAAAGAAATGCGTACATTAAATTTTAGTATTATTTAAATTTAGACAGCTCATTTACCGAGCTTCATTTATTCTTTGTCATATTTACCATTCTCGAAATAAAATTTGTGAAAATCAATTCCTTCGACCAAGTTTCCCAATGCCTCCGGCTCAAAAGCAGTTAGATGTGGATCACATATTTTACTGTAGCCAAAGAGGATTAACGAAAAATCAGCTTATACAGTTGGCCTAAAGGATAAGGTTAACTCACGTATATCCGTCAAAGTCGCCGCTGTTGATGGCTTCAATCAACTGCTCTGTGATCTTGATTATTTCCTGTCGTCTGGCTGCTTTTTTAGATGCATTTGTTTTCGAACATTTTTTGTAATAAGTTAAATTAAAACAGATCAGTGAACCAAGTCAGATTATTTTTAATAGTGTATTTCGTTAAAAGTCAGAGACTACAACCACGGATGAATTTCGATTATGAACGATAGTTGGATGAGAATTACAATTGAACAATCCAACCAACCAACATACTAAGGAAATCAAAAACCACAAACTAAATGCATGTGATGGTATACTTTGATAAACTCTTCAAAAAATAAAGTATGGCAATATGTCAATCGTGTACATATGTATGTACATCTTATGTTTATTTTTTGCCCTTGTGGAAGGTATTATAAAGCAGATATATCCTAGATCAGCATTAACAGCCGAGCTGATAAAGCCAAATCCGTCTGTCTGTTTCTATGCGAACAATATGAACGATCGGTCAAAAAGTTGGTTCTTATATGGAACACTTCTTTGTTTATCAAGATATCTTGACCAAACTCCGAATTTTTTAGTTTTCCTATGCTCCTCATATATATGCAATTCCTAACAACATCGGACCACTACATCATATAGCTGTCATAGGAAAATCGGTCGAAAATGAAGTAGTTGTATAGTAAACTTTTTTGTTTTTCTTAAAATCTTTACCGAACTCGGCATTATTAAGTTTCATTATGCGACAGTTAGGCAAAATCTTTAAAAAGAAGAATTTAAAAAGAATGTACCATTATAAATGAACTTCTTGGATGAACAACTTTTTGGTTTATAAAGAAATCTTGACCAATATCTTAAACTTTCACAAAGTGTATTACATCTTTAAAACATTTAATTCATTAAGTCTTGAAGTAAGCACACAATTACCGAATTATCTATTGAATTTAATGGACTATTTAATTAGAATTGATTAAATTTGTTCTTTACGTACACATAAAAAATTGTAATAAAATATTCATTCTTAAAACTACAAACACAGAAGAAACCGTGTTTATCACACGAAATTATGACGGAATTTTCAGGAGAAGACTATAGGGATCTGAACTTAACTAAGGAACATCTCGCCCGAAACGTTGATATTACCAGAAAATGAACGAGTGAACTTATTCAGCAAATTGAACTAAATATCCCCACTCTAATAAATACCACTCGCAAAACGAGTATTTTTGTCGGTATCTCTAATATATTTTGGTATTTCAACATATCGATAACAATCGGTTTTAAGGCTTGGTATTTTACCGTTATTTTTCATATTCAGTGTTAGATAGTAAGGGAAAAAATTGCAAATATATATAATGTATGAATATAAATAGTATCGTAACATATTTAAAAACTGAGGCTGGTAGCCGGTTTTATTTAAAAATAGTTCTGAAAAAGTGTTGCTTTTAAGGTGAATATAAATAACACTTTTCTTATTTAAATGATCAAGCCGGAGTGGAAACAGTTCTTAAATTTCCACTTTTACTTTCGCTTTCGATATTGATTTCGAAGTAGAAAACTGTCGAATAAAAGATTTTTAATTTTTTTTGAGACATTGTTTACCGTTTAGCAAATATTCAATTAGTGCACAATTTTTGGGTACAACTTTTTTGAAAACAAAATTGAGTTAAGAATGTGGCTAAGTAAAATATTCTTCATCAGAAAGCGGCTCACATGAAAGAAAAATTATCGACAGTTTTTTTTTTCGGTTTCAAGTTTTATACCACGGTACCAAGATCCTGATTTTCTATTCTATATAGTATCTATATAATATATAATATATTATAAATATATATAACATAATATAGACGTATAGGTCAAGACAACGTAGTATTCGATTTTATTTTATTAATTTTTTTATCTTATTTTTTTTTTTTTTTTTGCTTACCATCCCATTAAATATGGAAGTTTATTCTTCGACATTCTTACCAAGAAAAAAATACAACTTAAGACGTGTAGTTCAAATTTTAAGTTTAAAACTTGAAACTTGAAAAAATTGGACCGGGAGAGGCCGGGAATACCCAACTAGTTTGATCTAAGTCTTTGTCGTCCAATGAATACTGAAATCATTTGGCAACAATGTGGGTTGTATTATACTTATTATTTTTAGTTGAAAGAATTATAAAACAAAAATAAACCAGCCGTAGTGAAACCCCCTTTGTTATATAGCGTCAGCATCTGAGGTGCCACAAAATGTATATCAAATAATAATAATAATAATTGAAATGTGATAGCATGCACGTGAATGTGATTGATAAAGTAGCAAACTGTTTCGAAAATTCTAAATCAAAATGCAGATTTTCTTACGATAAGATACATTCAAGCATTTATAAAAGAAGAAATACAATGTATGATATACATAGTATAGATATACATATGCTTATGACTGATTAAAAAAGGATTGGGAGCTAAGGAGCAAAGCCCTAATACATACCTGAAGAGCATTGTGAGTTTCCTGATATTTGCTGGCAAGTTTTTGCAGGACACACAATCCTTATTTCTAAAACGCACACATTTCAATCATTTATAAATATATATACATTATTCAATATAACGTATATATATATATATATGTGTATATAAAATCAAAAGACTAAATAAATAATTAAGGATTCGTGTTCTTCAGATAATTATGCATGTAAGTTTTGTAAAATTAGATGACATTGAAATGCTTTTAAATGCTTTGCTAGACCAAAAGGGGAGAGGAATCCGGGAATCCGGAAATAGACCTACTCAAAACCAGTGTTGGAAGCTGCTGGAAACTAAATTATTGAGGGTTCGTGTTTATCAGATAATTATGCATTTAAGTTAATATGTCAACTGTGATACGTGAACTGCTTTCAAATGCTTTGCTAGACCAAAGGAGAGAGGAATCCGGGTATCTGGGAACCGACCTACTTAACACCAGTGTTGGAAACTGTGAAAAAACGGCTGAATTCAACGTTAAAAAGCGCTAAAACAAATAGCTGACAACTGGAAACTGACCTCAGAAAACAGTCGAATTTGGCTGACAATTGGAAACTGACCTCAGAAAACAGTCGAATTTGGCTGCAAACTTTCGGAATTTGATTATCTGATCATTATATTATTGTGTTAATTCTTTAAAAAAAAAAACAAAGAGAGATGCAACAGTTTTGAGTACGGGCTCATTTACATACTGGGAACATACTATACATAAGTATGTAAGGTTTCTAATGCCGAGCGCCAAGTTTTTTTTTAAGAACAACTGAGACATCAGCTAGCTTCAAACAAATACGAATATTATATACAGTATAATACGATGCCAGATATGTCTTATATGAAGCTACGAAAGTTGACGAGATAATACAATACGATACATACGTATGATATGCTTGCATTTGCAGCTGAGCTTAGTAGTTGACTTTTTTGGATATACAGCAAAAATTGAGCATGCGATCTGCAATAGATCAGAAAAAATATAATTCATGTATGTATAGAAAATAGACGCCATTATTTACAGAATTCATTTGCTTTTGCATCCAGAAACTGGGCTACAGAACTCTATAGAAAATGCCTAGCATTAATTTTGGAGCATACTCACCTCTAAGGCGGGACTTTGAATGCATTTGACTTTCGGCATCAATGCGTTTACAATTCTCATTAGTATTAATTTTGATACTGGCATTCGTATTGTCGATGACATTGGCCTCGACTCTGTTGGTGTACCCAACACCGAATGGCACGGTCGTCGACTTTGATTGGAGCTGGGTCTGTTGGCCGACTGTTAAAATGCGATGTGTACAGTCAGGCAAATATATAGTATATATATATATATCATATATATTATTGTTAGTAGAAGTCTCTTTGCAGCATGCAGCGGCTGGTCTGGTCAACATCGCGAATATCATTTAGCATAATTATTGTCTTTGTTAGTTTTCGCGAATGAATTCTTTATGAATCACGAATGATTCTTTAAAGAGCGAGTACTATTCGAATATGTATTGATTACAGTTTCCATACTCATACGACTTGAAGATGATATCTTTATGAATCACGAATGATTCTTTAAAGAGTGAGCACTATTCGAAGATGTGTTAATTACAGTTCCCATACTCATACGGATTGAGGTTGATTTTTAATATTCATACATTCATTTTCATATTAAGAATCTTTGTCAATTTAAGAAGCTACCAACTATGAAAAAAAAAAAACAAATTAACAGCAAACTGATCTTTGGAGAAATTCTAGACGAGATTGTTCGAAAATGTATGTATAAATCTGGAGGGAATCGGGCGATCCGATAAAAAGAGCTGTCGTTCCCAAGTTAATCCAAGGTGAGCAGCTCCAGTGCTGAAATTAAAATAAGTCAATGAAGACGGCGCCTTCAAATCAGATACGTAACAACTCGATAGTATCAGCTCGATAAAGTAGGGGCCGACTAAACCTCAGAGAGAATGACTTTTCAGAACTGCTCTTAGTTCGTTTATTGGGTTCGTTAGTCAAATAAAATGATATCACAAACTCGATCTGCTTTAAATGAATGCCTAAACGATTGACGACTTTAGTATGTGGTGCTTGTCTCGATGAGGTAACACAAGAAACAACAAAAACTATAATAATAGTAATAATAAAAAAAAAGGTAATCAAAAACTAAAAATAAAATGCAAATGAAAATTTACCTTCTGGGTCTTTTGATATGACTGTGGTACTGCGATCAACGATCCCTTTTTTATCTTCTAAAAAAAAAATAAACAAATTTCATAATTGAAAATGCAACCGTTTTTATTACTTTTAATTGTTAAGTATTGTTGTGTATTTGCGCACATACAGAAAATATTATTTTAAATACCCCTGGAATCCACCCAAGGACCCAAAAATATAAGGCCTATGTATAATGTGGTCCATGTTGTATATATACCGTATACATATACTTGTAGAGGGTATTATAGTTTTGCCACAGATCGAGACACATCTTCGATACCATAAAGTCTATATTTATTCTTGAACAGCCGAGTTGTTATAGCCATGTCCGTCTGTCTGTCTGTTTATATGCAAACTTGAGACCTTGCAAAATCCGTCTTTCTGTTGCAGGCTCGATCGGACCACATGTATATAGGTTTTTTTTTTATGGTTTAAGTTACTTTTATTTTTGCAAATTTTCTGTTACTTTTTACTTTTAGCAACTTTTATCAGCGTGAGTATGTATATAGGATAATTGTAAGAAAAACTTTCTTGTCTAGCATATAGAAGTTAAACGATGCTGCCTTTATTTGATCCAAATCTAATGAAGGCTGTATTATATGGCTGCATAGGAAACCTCGGTCAAAAAATGAGTTCTGTTTTTCCCCTCAGATATTTTCATCAAACTCAGCTTTTGCGAGCTACACTATTCTTACATCTCTCTGTCTGCTAGGTTATTAGATTTTCGTACTTCCGCGCTTGTGAATTATTTTGTAATATTTTAGCCTGAAAAGTTGAAAAGTGTGCAAAGAAATTTCTATTTTACAGGTACGTGTACTTTAAAGCTAATCACGACGAAAATAAAGCAAAGATGAATTGATCAATTGACTACATAAAAACATTATTTAATCTTGGCAATTTTTCAATGCAGTTAAAGATCGTGAAAGAAAATAAAATAAATTAAACTTTGCACCTAATTGGTATGATTTTCGAGTGATATTAAAAACGGGCAAGGTTTCTGGTATACCCAACATTAACACGTTCTGTCTATAATTATCTATAGTTAATATTGAAAATTTTTTCAGACTTTTGCAGCTTTCCAAATCTACAAATGGACCTGTAGATCGCCATTAAAAATGTTCAATGGGTTGTATTAAAAAAAAAGGTCTGTCTGTCTGTCTGTTTACCTTCCCGTCTACTTGTTTGTCTCTCTCTGTCTGACTTTGAGTCTTTCGGTTTGCAAGTCTTTCTGTCTGTCAATCTGTCTGTCTACCAGTGTGTCAGTCTGTCTGTCTGCCTTGCCATACATATGCCTGTCTTTCTGTATGTCTGCCTGTTTGAAGTCGCAGATGACTTTCCCTACAACTTGCATATTGCTACGGAATTTGATTGAGGCTCAAATCGAATTACTTTTATTCTTTAAGATGTTTTAAGATGAGCCTAAATTGATTAAACAAAACCTGTAGCCTATAATTATTTATGCCATCTGCAATGTGAAAACAAAAGTTGTGTATTCATGTTGACAAGTTAGTGTGATTTTTCTTAAAGTAAATATTAACCATGCCTATATTGAAATGTACAAAATGTATGGTAAAAAAAATGATAGACAAGCAGATTACAACCAGAATTACAATAGCTATTATAACGACATTAAAGTAATTAAATACACGTGCAGATTATATGAAAATAAATTGCCAGCATAAGTTGATAAATTGAAAATAAACCGATTCTAGTTAAAATGCACTATTTAATGCGACACTTAACGGTCAACGGTTATATACATATATAAATTATATAATTTATAAATGTTTTATATTATTTCACTATTCAATATATATATATATATATATATATATATATATATATATATATATATATATATATATATATATATATATATATATATATGAATATATTTTAGAAGGTATATCTTTAGCTATACTGTCTATTTTGTTGGCTAGAAACTCATTCAATTGTAAAATGTAACCTAACGAGCTGAACTCATCTATAAAAGAATTCCCCACTTCATTCAAAATAGGTTTTAGCGACAAAGATCATAAACAATTATAGACTCCAACTATTGTTCTAATTGACATAAATATTTACCTTTGACGTCATCGTCCTCTAGTGTTGTGCTAGAGGAATCGGTTGATTCCTTCACCTGAGATCCATCTCCCTTTTTGGTGATCATGCTTCTGCCTTTAAACGAAAATTAAACACAAAATTTATTTTTTCTTTCCATTACAATATTAAATCTATTTACTGGAGAAATTCCTAGTTGCCAGCATTGTGGTGAGTATAGCTCCCTTAAGCTTGCGACGAGCATTGAATTTCTTGAGACAATCCACGGTTTCCTGGCGATGTACTACAGAAGCAACACGCTCTCGTTGCTATTTAAAAATTACGGAGAACCTTGATTAGTCCGGAATGTATACGGCAAATATATGCCAGTTACTTACACAAATCCATGGATGTTTAAGGGCTTCAGCTGCGGTTATTCGCTTATTTGGGTTTACAGTGAGCATTTGATTGATCAGATTTTTTGCCTCTGGCGTAACCGTGTCCCATTCTGGCGAAGGATACTAAAATAGAAGTTGCAAGAATTTGATAAATATATATATACCAAGGATAATTTAGAAAATGTTATGCAGATAAATCTGCTGTCTGCATTTCCAATACTTAACTAATTGGATCTTTATGTTTGGATATCGAAATATTATCAAAATAGTAATTTTTATTGAGATCATGCAGTGTAAAAACTGAATCAGCGTACAAATATATCGTTTTCTAATTTAGGGTGGATTGAAAGAGGTTCTTACATCGTAGGCCCCGGCCTTGATTTGTGAATACAAGCGGTGTTGATCCTCGTCCCAGAACGGTGGATACCCGACCAGCAGTATGTAGAGTATCACTCCTGTATATAAACAATTCATATGCTTAAAGTTGTTCATAAACTATTTACAAATTGGGTTAACATAATGGAAGTGTGTAGTGAGTAGTGACAACAATAACATATTACACATAAAATAAATAAGAATAATAGATGAGAAATGCTTGTGCTTACCACATGCCCATATATCTACCGATTTGCCATATGGTTCCTTTTTCAATACCTCGGGCGATAGATACCCAGGGGTACCGGCAAATCCGAACCAGGCTTGGTGATCACCTTGTACTTCAATGGCTAGACCAAAGTCCGCGAGTTTCACAGCTGCACCCTTTGCCTTACTTGCTAATAGTAAATTCTCTGGCTTGAGATCTCGATGCACCACACCGTTCTGGTGGCAGTGATTGACAGATTCCAATATTTGCTGAATACAATGTGATGCATCAGCCTCTGAATAAAATTCACGTGCAACAATATCTTCGAAAAGTTCACCACCAGTTACACTGCAAAATGCATTTAGTATTCAGTTGGTAAATTTTGCTTCAAGTTCAAGTTTTTAGATTGCTTTCGTTCAGAAAATTGTTAATTCCATTTCGTATTTATACTAGGTATTTATACAAAGGTAGTTAGAGTGCAGATTTAAGAGAGAGCTATAGTTAGTAAGTAAACAGGAACTCGGTGGGGAAAGGATGAACTATGAATCTCAATAAACAATAGTCAAGTCCATTGCTTTATTCACAAAGGAACCCGAAAGCTTTTGTTTACAATCAAATTATAATTAGATATTTTTTCTACAAGCAACCTATATTCATAACATTGTATTAGTACATATATGAAACTCTACAGGGGTGCGAGTCGTTACTTACAGATCAAAAACAAGATAGTGATAGTTTTCCTCCTGTATGCTGTCATGCAATCGAACTGAAAGTCAAACAAATCGAATAAAAACCTTTTACATTTAATTATGATTAACATTATTATTCTATCGTTAAAGATATCCCATTGTCGCATTTATTTTATAACATATACTTAAACAGAAAGAGAGCTAAGTCGAGTTTTATAGACTAAGTTTTTTGTTCACATAGTAAAAAAATAAAATAGCGTTCCGGGAATTGATCCAAAACAGGTTTTAAAAACTCTTCTTCGGGCCGAAGAAGTACATTTTTATCGCATTAGACGTCTTTAAAACAAAAGCCTATGATAAACTCCTCTTTAACCGATTGTGTTTGGCTGATTAAATGGAATCAGTGCCAAATTTTAAAATTTATTTTATACAGAAGACTTCGTTTAGCTTGGATAATAAAACTAGACTACATGGACAATTTATATAGATATCATACCAATATTAGGATGGTGCAATTTCCTACAAATCCTAGCTTCTCGTTCTAGCTTTTGGAAATCTGAAAGAACGCAAAATGCAGTTTGTCATAAAGAAATACGAATATTTATTTAAAAAAATAATAGATTCTTACCTCTTGCTGTTAGTTTCTTGGTATTTATAATTTTAGCGGCAAACTCGAATCCAGTTGATTTTTGGACACATCTTTTTACTATTGAAAAAGCACCCCTGTAAAAAACATAAATTAATATAAACAAACTATTTTTTTTCTTAAGAGCAAGAAGAGTAGAAGACGATTAGGATCTGAGCCGATTTAGCCATGTTCTAGCCTGTTCTTCTGTGAATCGCGGACACTCGTAAGCTGAATGCTTTTAATTTGAAATATATATTCGAAATATCAACAATTTTGATGTTTATGTTAGACTATAGAGTATACAGATTGGAAATATTTAACTTTTTGTATACCTGCTTCGTCCCTGAGTTTTGGTCCTTATAAGAATCGGACAACAAACACAAATACCAATCAGAAAAGTTAATACCATAGGAAGAGGTATATGTAAAAGCCTGAAGGTTTGTAATGGCAACTCGGCGCAGGGTCACACTTGAGCATCTCGATGGAGGGGGCTGTGGGATTCGGTGTTTGCACTTACTTGCCGAGCTCTTCCTTGATATCGTAATTGTCCGAAAAACGCGTACAGGCTGCTGGGGCAGCCATCGCGATGGCACACTTGAGAAAATCTATTGTGTGTGTGTCAATTAGAGTCTGTATCACTTACTAGTTTGTAGCCGTAAATTTGCAGACAAACTTTACTAATCCTTGTTGTTCGTATTCAATTCAAATTGTGTTGCAGCACGCTTCCGTTGTTTTTGTTGGGGGAGATTTTTTCCGATTCCTGCGAGATGCTATTGAAATACTTGTGCTCTTGTTACAAAGAAATATATAAGCACATAAATAGATACATATGTTTTGTTCAAATCTGTAATTATCTACAGATGCCGAGTCTTTAATATACTTTATAACACACATACATATGTTGAAAGAACCTAACTTGATACACGTTCACACTGAATGATCATGCATATAAAAATACTTTAAATACTGTACAATAATAATCATGTTGCAAAGTGCGTTCTGAAAGTAATTATTTTAATATTACTTAATCACATTCTTAATTTTTAAATCCAATATTTTCCACTAAAGAACCTGAAGTCGTATAATTCATTGGTGAGTTTTACACCATGATCGATTTTTCCCTTCAAATAAGAGGAAAACTTACTAATCTAGGTACGGTCACACTGCGTGCAGTTGACCATGACCACGTTTTTCACTTGAAACAGGTGTCTTGTGATGCCAATACAGGAAAACGTAAAAAGTTAGATGCAAAATGAAAATTGTTAAATATGTATAGGACCCGCGTTTTTATTATCATTTACATTATAAAAAATACGAAACTGTTGACATGTTTTGCAAAACTGGTTAATAGAGAATAAAATATATCAAAACGCCAACCATTTTATAGCTAAAAAGTCCGTTAAATAAGTAAAATATTAGTTTAGGCATAGGTAGAAGGTTTGGCGGTAAAGTAATTTTCTTTAATCCAAATGCAGAGTAAATCTATATTAATGAACAAAAATTTATATAAACTGATTTTTTTATTCGAATATAAAGGTTGCAGCGTGAAGCAGTGCTATAAATGTATGAATATAAGAAATATATATGTATGTATATGCTATAAATATATGAAATCACATACATACATATATTCGTTACATATGCATTTGCATTGTATGTACACACACTGCAGTTAGCTATACATATGTGTATGTAAGTTGACAAGTTACCCAACATATTCCAGCAAAGGGTTCGACTGGAAGGCAACCGAGCCAATGTGCACCAAATAATGTCAGTAAATACATCGCCTTTTTCACAAGCACTGAATTGAAACAACATCACAAATAGTTACTGATGCATTGTATGAACAAATAACTACACTTTACAGAAGATAACACTATACTGTTGTTGTTCATATACATACATATATGCATGTATGTATAGTAGAAATGCATAATATACATATAATAATAATATGAAATCTATTAACTGTACAAATTGCAACAAGTTCTTGTATATACTTATATTATGCATACATATGTATGTATGTATGAATGTGCATGCCTAACTGTTACATTTGCAAGTGTATTTGCTTATACATACGTTTGTATGTAAGCTCATAGTTGACATTGTACATACGAATGCATGGATGGGTGTATATATACATACATGCAAATATTTTTGACAGGTTTCACATATTTACTAGTATGTATGTACATATGTCTGTATAGATTTATATATGAACATGTTGCTCTTGTTCCCATATTCCATTATAGCTGCGCATGAATTTTCCACCGTTCCAATTGCTAGTAATGCAGGGAGGGTATCAGAATACATACAAATTTATTTTGTGTACATTATACAGTCTACACATGTGTGCTGAAATAACATTTTTGTATATAAAGTTAACTTTTTACGTATGGACATATGTATGTACGTCCATACATTTTTTTAAGATGTGCGTAAAAAACATAGAAAACATGTTGGTATATATGTATATGCATAGTTAATTATACTTATTTTATCAGTCTAGGAATTGTAGATTGCTTGTACACATACATATGCACAAAGTATATAATCGAACTTATTGAATGTATACACATACATACATACGTGCTTAAGTGTAACCATGTCCTTACAAAATCGGACGACACGAAAAAAATCATACCTATTCATGCACATGGGTATTTCGAAAAATGCTTGTTATAGTAGTATATTTAAATATTCAAATATGCTTTTATATATTAATATATACATGTAAATATGTTATTTATATAATCGGTATGTATAAATATAATTGTACATATATACATATATAAATTTAAAAATGAAATCTAAATAAAAAAAGGTCAATATTTTCTGTCACCCTATTATATGTACATACATACATATGCATGTACTTAAGCAGCGTATACACGTTATGCTCACGCTATATAATGAGGAATATATATGTTTATTCGTAGATGTAAAGAGAGATGTATATACATATATATAAATATATAATATATATATATATATATATATATATATATATATATATTAAGAATGTGTGTACATCCATATGTAAATATGTAAATTTGTATGTACACCTTACCAATAATACATCGTGTGGGTACATATACATATATATGAACATTTGAATGCTTTTCGGATAGTTTTTTCAGCTATCTGATAAATATAATTTTGTGCGCACACAGATGCATATACGTACTTGTCTGTGTATATTATACGTAAGCGTTTCAACACATGGATATTCATATGTATTTGTGCATGAACGTTAACATATGTATCTACGTTTAATTGTTATATGCTTGAAAAGTATGTATCTGTCAAATGAATGGTAATGTATATACATACATACAATGTATATTAAACGTATTCCACTATAGAATGTACATATTTAAGTAAATGGGTAACGGGACCAGAGGCAGCACGCGACTTATGTGTATATATGTATGTATACCACGAATTGTCTTTTGTTAAACGTCCGTTGGTTAGCAAAGCGAATTCAATACTGATGGCTTCAGATATAAAAAAGCAGCATCAGGAGTAGATATAGGAACGCATATCTATATGTGTTCCACACATTTCTGTATCCCAGGTCGCCTCTTTATACTGAGAATGTTTTGGATATTGACTCTCTCGCTCTCTCTGAAGCTCGGGGAGGAAGTCTCCACTTTTTGGACGCATGACCGGCAAAAGCTTTTCTTCCTTTAGCCTAGTTTGAGCTTTTGCGCTTATATTCTTGATTATCGATAGCAGGTCATGAACTAAATCAATTGATGCCCGTAAAATATGTGCACACATGTATGTACATCGCTTCAACTTAAATCAACTTTTTATTTTACATTTGTCAGATGTACATACGTAGCTTTGTAATAAGCTAAAGAGAGCATTTCCAACCCTACAAAATTGAGAGGGAACAAATCTATATCTCTATTTCGTAAAAAAGTTTCTCATTAGTTGTCCACTCTTGCTATACCCTAAGACCTTAGAAAATGGATAAACAGCCGATCCAAGACTATTGAGCAATTGAATACGTATATACAATAATATATATTACATTAATAATGAATATTAATAAATAAATGGGGACCCCATAGAAATGTCTATTAGTCTGGTTTTATTGACGTGTTGGCTACTTTATTCTCAACCTATTCAGTTATAATATCTGTTATATTATGTTATAATGGACTCTCCTGCTCAAATTCTACAACGGTCTGCGCTTGTCTCCAGTCTCCAGTCTACAGTCTGCAGTCTGCAGTCTTCAAATTAAAGGTGAACTGCAGGTAACCTAATCAAGCTCCTATAGTTCGGATGGGATTCAACTAGTCAACAACTAAACTCTTAATCTGCTTATGGTCTACATTTAGTTCCATATAAAATGATTGACAGTATATGAATTACCATGTATAAAAATCTAGAAAGTACGGCACACCGAAAATTGTATACCCGTGTAGTCTATATTAGCTCGGCATGCACTAAATATGCTGATCCAGAATATATATACATATAGAATATATATATGAAAAATTTTAATAAATATTAATAGCATTTCTTTGAGACTCTAATATATTAACAAGCTTCGTTATAGACTTTTTACCAAACCGACCATGAGTTAAGTATAAAAATTCTATGTGTATAGACTTTGCTAAGTTAAAGCCTTCAAATGAATATTAAACATTTATATAATACATTTGTACCTATCAATGAATATTGAATAATGAACAATACAAATAGTTGGATTCACAAAAAAAATGCGAAAAGTGCGATTTCAACCAGGCAGACTAGGAAAACTCTAAAGGCAATTGGAAAATAGATAAACGATAGATAGAAATTTGTGATATAAACTGGCGCTGAAAACCTTATACAATCCGTATATGAGCTCTGTTCTAGAGAATGCACATTTAATAAATGTATTTCAGGGGAACTTCTTATCGATCGGGGGTTACCACAGGGATCGCTCGGACTATTAATTTTTTTTACAATTTATATTTATTTATATTTTGTATTTCCTAAAACCTTGTTCTCTGTAAAAAAAAAATTAAAAATTCATGTAAATTCGAGAGCCTTAAATAGATATTACGACAAACCAATATTAGAAATAAAATAAATCATATGCATATTTGAAAATGTTAGGGACTAGTCCTATATTAAGGATAATTCTTATATTATCCTTTATCATGAAATAAATAATAAATAAATAAATAATATTAGTTAACTAATAAATATAGGTATCGATTTTTAAATTACGTTTGTTGACTTTATATCGGGCCTAATAAGAGCTGGGGATATCGAATTAAGGATGAATTTCGAAAAAATTTCACTGTTTGGACTCCCCCGAACTTTTTGACGGTACGTACTTTGCTTCTTAATCTACTCGAGGAGGAGACTGAGACAGAGGCAGAACATCAACAATATGTGTATTTCCTGCTCTCATTTCGCATGTTCTCGATTATACAGAACTCTATTGACCGATATTTACATCCATTATCTATATTATATTGTTCCTTATCATAAAACACATATTGAAAGATTCACCAAATAATTCATTGAAGACGCTTTGCACTTTGCGGAAAGAAATTATATTAATACTTTATCGAATCTCTTTTACTATATTTATTTTTCAGTTTATTTTTTTTTATTAAAACCATGTTAGGTTATTTATGATTTCGCTTTATTTTATAAATTATAGAATGCAACTTTCGATCAGCACAACTAACATAAATAAGTTTGACATCCTTTAAGTTAGTTTAGTCAGAATGTAAATACTTTGCTCAATATAGATATTAAATTAAATATTTAATCGAATTTAGAGTTCCGACGTCATGCGATTTGTTAAGACCTGAACGCGTCGAGCATTACAGCTTTTGCACAGCACATGATCATCCAATGGATAACAGCCCCGACCATCAGCCTCAGAGGACAACAGGAGGGAACAGTCCTGGTTAAAAGAAATAAAGAATATATAAGCTGAGTTCTTATTTATACAGTCAATATTATTATAATGAATAGTATAGGTTAAGTAGCTTAATGTGTGTACAGATGCTTCAAATAGAAGATTTATGTTCTAGGTTTTTAGACGGACGGATGATTCTTTGTAGAGTTTTCCGAGACAGACTACTTTAAATGGAACTGATATTTCGTCCGTAATAACCATACGAATAATTGTTACACCAACCATTATTCAACGGTTAATTAAAGAGGGAAGATTAATTATCAGAAATCTTCTGTAATACGGACGGAATACGCACACCGGGATTGCATTTTAAGGGCAAACGCTTGCGTACAAAACGTAGCGAAGAGCTGAACAAAAAACTCAGAGAGTGTAATCTATTTATAGATTATCGTTAGCGTACAAAACGCAGCGAAGAGAAATTATTAAGAGCATATATAGCACAAACAAGCGGCTGAAAAAAAAAACAGAGTGAAATCTATTTATATAGATTATGGGAGATGAAAAGAAAACGGGCGGTTAACA